TTCACTACGCTTTTCAAAGGTTTCTGGCTTAGATTTTTGTCCTGTTGTCCTGCACAGCTTCAGAATTAGGCATTCAAGACCTACTGAAGTGCCAGAAGCTATACTTTTTTTAAAGTCACTCTGTCTCCTTTAGTGACCTTTTATCAGAGGTCATACCCAGATTCCTCTAGCATAGAGGTGAACAACTATTTTAGGTTTTCTGGCCACACATTCTGTCACAACTACCCAACTCTGCCATTACAGCATAAAAGTAGCCATGGATAATATGTAAATAAATGAAAAAATGAAGATGGCTGTTTACCAATAAAACTTTATTTACAGAAACAGGCAACAAACCAGATTTGGCCCATGACCATAGTTTGCTGATCTCTGTTCTTGCTGCACCCAGAATCAGTAAGCATACCCAGGGGAAAAGTAGCTGGAAACTGTCAGTGTCAGTTCACCACCATCTCCAGGACGGTCAGTTCTCGCCTGGTATGTTCTTCAGGGACTCTCAGCCTGAAGATCTTTATCTCTTTATAAGACCAGTAAATTCAACTAGTATTGCTTAGTAGTTAATTTTCCTTTAGCTTCAGAATTTTGCAAATATTTTGAAAGGGAAACTGGCCATGTGAATGAGGCAAACATTTTGAAAGGAAAATCAGTTTTGTGGTTGAGTGGCAACTGTGTCACACTAGCCTTACATAATCACCAAACATTTTGCTTGTTTCTCTATTCACAAGAAATGACCTACTGCCTGAACCAAACCCAGATTCTCAACTTTTGGCTTACTCCCAGAATCAGTATAACTCCACAGAAAAGTGGCTATAGATTTTCAGCTCATCTCTGTGCAGTTTTCTCAAATCTGGATTTTTAGCTTCTCAATCCTTACTGCCTCTGCATTTCTCTGATGTCTTTAAAACTATAATTTTTGTCTGGTTTTTCTTCTTGTTCTTGGTGGGATCATAAACCGGATTCAAATTATTTCATCCTATCCAGAAATCAGAAACTGTATCCTACTACTTTTAATATTTAATATTTTCATTATCACTCAGTTCTAAGTATTTTTAAAATTTCCATTGATTTTTATTTATTCCAAGAATTACTCAAAATGTTTTAAAATTTCACTGTACATATTGAAACAATCTTTCTGCTATTGATTATAATAATTATATTGTGATCAGAAAAAATGTTCTATAAGATTTCAACACTTTACAGACATGCTTTTCTTTTTGGCCAACTATGGGTCAATTTTTTTAAATATTACATTTGGGCTTGAAAAGAATGTTTATTTTATAATTGTTCAATCTTTCAGATCAAGTGTGTTAATCATGTTGCTCTTATCTTCAATTCCAAAACATTTGGAAGAATTTTTTGGTCAATTCTGATAATGTGATATTGAAATCTCCCACTTCAATGGTGAATTTATCAAACTTTTTTAAAGTATGTAAATTTTGAAAAACATATTGTGGCCATGTAATGAGGAAATGAAAAGTTTGACATGCTTTAACTTCCTGGTGAGTTAAACCTTTTACCTTTAGTTACCCAGTTTATGCTTGCTAATGTTCTTTCTTAAAGTCTATTTTGTCTATCTAATATTAATCTTACTATATGTTTTCTTTTGGTTATCAGATGTCTGGTAAGCCTTTTATTTTTAGCCATTTAACGTCATGTTTTCTGTCTGTAGCTAGATTTCTTTTTATCCTAACATGATGATCCTTTTTAAACTAAGATTAATTTATTTAAATGTATTGTTATAAAGCAATATAATTTCTTCTTGCTTTGTAATTTCTATTTTTCCTGCTTTTTGTTTCACTTTCACTCCTTTGCTGCTTCATTACTGTTTTTATTCCAATTTTTATCCTGTACTGTTTTTCATCTTATTTCCTCTACTTCTATTCATTTAATAGTCATTCTAAAAATGTAAAATGCACACATACCATGCTGTCTGAAAATATTAAAACTTACTACTCTTCCCCACACATAAAAAAACTCCTAATATGTTAAAACCAATCATGTCCTCTCCTTATATAATACTGTTATTAAATACATTAGTACTTTATCTTATTTCCCCAATTACCATCATCATATTATCATCATAATTATAAAAGAGACTCAGTGTTTGCTTAAACTTACTTACATTTTTACTAATTTAAGAGCACAGCATTCTTCCTTGTATGCAAACCTCTCTTCTACTCTTTACCTTCTTCAGTAAGTGTATCCTTTTAGATATTGTTTAATTAAGGGTATACGGATTCAAAAGACAATCAGCTTTTGTATGTTTGAAAACATCCTCACTTTTTATTTATTCTTTAATGATAGTTTAGGTAGGTAACCAATTTGAAGCTGACAGTAATTTTCTTAAGCCCAACTACCCACAAATAGACCACAGCCTTTGTCTTGGCCCTCACACAAGGCCATTCTAACTCAAAACTCTAGATTTCTATATCAATAATTATCACTTAGGGAGCCTGGCCTTCCATGTTTACTTACCACTTGGGTTTTAGCCCCTTATATGTTTTTCTCCAAGAGATTTCCTTATTATTAAGGAAAGTAAAGCTTCCTATTAAGAGCCACTGTTCAGCAATGGGCTCTTGCAAATACTTTCTGCCTCACAGACAAAATGGCCTACAGCAAGATAAAGTACATGGTCCCCACAAAAAGGCATGCATGGATCAAGGTACTCCTAGACATATCATGGGTTGGCTCTAGGAAAGGGATCTCATTCATAGATACTCTTTTTATACAGAGACAAAGAATCTGAGCTTATGGCCAACTGCTTAAGGAAGCTGCATGTCTGGAACACCAGCTGCAACTATCTAGACACATTGTGGGAAGTTGAACTTGTGCAGTCCCTTCTACTGAATAAGGGGGTGCCACCACTTCTATTTCCATCTGAAAAAAGCCAGAAATGCCATTCATTAAACAATATATTGTTCTTCTCCACACAACTACTTTCTTGGTGACCAGTCAGCAACAATTTCAAAGTGAAGTCAACTGACTGCTCTTTATTATTAATTCAAACCACCTCTCTAACTCATTTAAATTTCTTGTTCTGGAAAAAGTGAAATGTGACACCTAACTCTGAATATTACAGGGTATTCTTTTATTGAGAAATGTTTCCCTCTGATGAAATTTTAAACTATGAATGCCAAAGGACATTAAAGTCAAGTTGTGTTTTAACATCTAAGGTAAAAATGGGACTTCTCATATTTAGAACCAACTACTGGCAACTTTCATGTACTCTTTATTATTAAAGTTGCCAAATTTCTGAATATGTATTGTTTTACTGTGCTTAATTTTCAAAGAATTAGAAAGAAAAAAACCACCCTTAACACTAAAATCATACAAGATATATTTTAATCATTTTCTATGATTTAGAAGATATATATTACAGTGTTTTATCATACTAAAGAGAAAGTGTGATGAACATCAGTTATTTTTAAAGACTAAGTTAGAGCTTTCCCTATCATTAGATAAAAGATTTTAAATGTTTACATCATGTTTATGCAAAGCAGTTAGAGCAGTTACAACTCCTTCTATTGTAAGGAGCAGAAATTGAGAGTGGTAGCTCTAAGCCAGAGATTGTCTGTATTCATAATTTATGTCTCATCATATAGCTCATTACTACCTGTCTCAGTACCTTAAAGCAAAAGTACAATGGATTGTCCTAAAGTATGCCATCTTTAATTCACCTAATAAAGATCTGAAATACTATGCTCCTACTCCATCTTCTCTCTCTCTCTCTCTACACACACACACACACACACACACACACACACACACCTTTCTTTATCTCACTCTTTAGCTATTTTTCCTCTAAAACATTTTTGTGCCTCTATTATTGTTTTTATCTCAATATGTTTCAACTTACAGATCACCTTTGAGTCACCCAAAGCATCTTGCGTAGGACTTTATTCATGGTAGAGGCACAATAATGTTGAATTAAATGTATAAAGAAATAAACATTTTAAAAATTAGATGTACTAATTTTAATACAACACTGTTTAAACTGCTAAGTATCTGAATCTCTGGCAATGTCATTCAGACCATCTAAACTAGGTTCACTAATCACAGTGTGATACAAAGTAATTTCCAGCCAGCATCCACATTTAGTTATCATGTGACAAATTCAGGTATTTTGAGATCACATCCTTTTAATACTTCTATTTTGTTAATTTTAATTTGTTTTCACTTTTAAGAAATCATGTTGGAAAATATTAATATTAGAAGCTAATCCCATCAGATGAAGAACAAAGACAGGCTCTTAATATTGTAGTTAAAATGAACTTGATCAATCTCCCTGAGAAAAAGACATTCCATAACAGTATTAGCTGTATGCTTCCCTTAGTGAAAGTACTTACAGAATAATATGTGACAATTTTATCACATGTAGAGTCTTAAAATATCACTGAGTATGACAAGAATTTATGACATGAATTTCAAACAGAGAAAGATGGAGAATAATAGAATTAGTCAATAAATATTTGTTTCATGAAGAAACATATGTTTCCTTTCTCACATAAATATTTAATTACTATTTATATTATCGGGACATGGCCAAAGTCAAACATAATTCATTTCAGCCTCCTGATTTCTCTTTATTCTTACGAGAAAATTAATTTTAAAATAAGCATTTTTAATTACCTGCCCCCTTGCTGGAATTTATCTATTACATTTGTAGAAAAATACACTTTAATTACAATTTACTATATCGATCTAATGAAAACTCACATAGATGACTTTGCTTGACATTTTAGGTACAGTTTGGTTTTATTAAAAATAATTCGTCATGAAATTTCAAATTATTGATTAGCCCTGAGAAAACCATAGGATTCCAATACACTTAACAGCTGTGCCCTGAAAGTGATATCAATCATGAAGGATACAGCTAGCAAAGACCTCATGGCCCTGTCATTTTTCTCAGTTCATTTTTACCCCCTACGATAAAATCTATAGATAGATTTAACATTAATATTATATCAGAATGAATATTATAAAAGACTGACAGATTATAATAATTAATACTTATAAGACATTTATTGGTAAGATTAAAATACAATAAAATAAGCATAAAGTCCTGAAATTGAGTTTTTAAAAAAATCAACTACATGGGTAAGTATGGGAAGGCCAGACTAACAATAATTCCTGTCAGAATGGGCAATATGTGGCATGTTTGATAAAAATGCAAATCAAGCATTATAAATAGAACTACAGTACACCATATAAAGATGTTAACATTCTCACCGTACCGTTTGCATTGGAGGAGAGACATCGGTATGGATGTGATGAGTTTTACATGGCATGCTCTTAAAAACACATTGACAAAGTATGCTCATTTTATATACATTTCCCCATCCTCACAATAACTCTAAAGGTAGAGAGTAGAACACCCTTTTACAGATACAACATCTGAGTTTCAGAGATATAAAGTAATATACCTGAAAACACAAAGCAAGAAACTAAACCAAAATTTAATGCAAGTCCATTCACCTCCATACTCTTTTTACTGTATCATATTGCCTTCAAGTTTCCTTCTAGCACTAGGAGGGACAATTTGGCAAAACCTCGCCTGTAGAATACTTGAAAATCAGGTGACAAAACATAACGTGATTTTAACAAAAAAAAGACAATTTCTGAAATGGGATTACAGATTTATATTGTTAATATAAATGTCTTCTGTCTCTTGCTTTCCCTAATAGCTACAACCCTAAAGTGTTGTACATAAATCAATTTTTAATTGAATCAAGTTTTCCTCACTGATAAATTATAAATAATAACTGCTGTATCTTTATTATTAATTAATCATAAATAATCTTCATGCAAATAAAATTTTTTGTCCTTCAATTTCTTAAGTATTTAATAACATGCAAACTATTTTTTAAAATATAGCCGAAGAGTAGCAATTCGAAAAGACCCTGCAGATTTACCAATTTCATAACCAAAGTTCCATATTATTATTAGGTTTATTAAAGCAAAACAACTTATAGAGATAGAGAAATTTTTACCACCTTTTTTTAAACTTGACAATTCCATATTAAAAGTCTTTTTCTCCTGTCAGTGGCCTGAAGAAACAAATATCATAATTTACATGGTGGTACAATCTACCTTCAATTTGCAGCATTAAAAAAATATGATTGTCCCATGTGTACAAATATGTAATTCTACTGCCATCTTCTGGTAAAACACAATTTCCCAATTCTTGGTAGTATTCCAAATGGGAAACCTCCAGATATGAAATAACTACTTTCTAATACTAGATTAATAAAAGCAGAATAATAATTTTGCAAATGGCCAAAAATATAATAAAACTAGGGCTCTAGCAATAATTTTTATTAGTACATAATATGTTCTCTCGATAACGCTGAACATTAATTGAGCACACAACTATATTTGAGGCATATAACTAAGAGCTTTAAAAAAAATAAAAATTCTCTCAATAACATAAAGTGGCACTATCATTCTCATTTTATAGATGAGGAAACTGAGAATCAAAGAAGTCAAGCAGTTTGCCCAAAGTTACACAACTGGTAAATGATAGAGGCTCTGATTCGGAAGTTCATTCCAATGACCCTAACTTTGATTATTATGCTATAATATCCTCTGTAATGTGAGTAATAGACATAAAGTTGATTTAACTCATTTAGAACATTAAAGCTTAAATTAGTGGAGTAGAGCAATAATACTGCAATTAGTAAGTAGACCAAGAGTCACAGAACACAGAATCAAAGAGTTAAAAGAAACTTTAATGGTCCCATAATCTACTTTTCCATATAATTCAAAACTTTATTCCCTAACAATTCCAACAGATTAAATTCTAATGTTCTATTTTGTAAATAATACCATATCATTTTTATATTTTTCACAATTTAAAAAATTTAGATTCCATATGTTTAGTGTTTAAATTGAAATTAAGTTTGCTTTAATATAGATTTAAATATTAATAAACACTAGATGGAAATCACTATTCCTGGTAAATATAATATTTACTAATTTATATTTAGAGAGGTTTTATTTATACAAAGAGATATAGTACTATATTCTGCTATACTATTTATATACACTGATTTCTTAAAAGTTATAAACCAATTCAATGGACTTTTTTTTGTCAATTTTAGGTAGTGAAATAAATTGCTTTTAAAGAAAAATGCCCATGAAATGTCAACACATTACTTTAAAACTATAACAATGAGAACTTTAGGAGTATGTAAAATAAGAAAATGGATAATTTATCAGTGTTGGTATCTTTATAAATCAAATCACATCTAATTCATGCTCTGAAAGTCCACTTTAATGTAATCCTGAATATCCGAATAACTGAAGTGACTAACAATTATAAATAACAATGTAAAACAAAATGCCAGATGAGATACTTAATATAGAATTATATGATGAATAAATTGATCACTTTGAAAAATACAGTAGTATGTAGAATAGTAGGAGAGAAATCCTATCAACTACTGTAAAAAACCATTTTGGTAAATCTTTGGTTCATAAAGTTTCATAATCCTATCAATTTACTATGCACAACTTTCAGTGAATAGTTTGATCACAAAGCTTCATATTTCTCACAATCTATTTTGCCCAACTCCAAACAGATGTTTCTAATAATTATGTACATTTAAATTTTGATTTAATTTCCTAGTAAACATTATAAATAGAGACTAGAATTCTTATATTCAACAACATAACAAATACTACAGTAGGTCTTTTACATTTCCACATAAATTTTAGAATCAGTTTGTCAATTTCTAAAAAAAAAAAAAAAACGAAAAAAAGCCTGCTGAGATTTTGATTGGGATTGAGTTGATCAACAACAGAATCAAAAAGATCCCACAATACAGTCAATATAAAAATTAAGTGCACTTCTATATTTGAGCCAAAAAGGGAAAATAAAATTTTAAAATATCACTTAAAATAGCATCAAAACAAAAATACTTAGAAATAAATTTAATGAAACTTGTAAAAGACATCTACACTGAAAATTACAAAAAAAAGAGAAATTATAGGAGATCTAAATAAATGTAGAGATATGTTCATGGATCAGAGGACTCAATATTGGTAAGGTATACATACGCCTCAAATTAATATATAGAGTCGATTCAATCCCAATCAAAATTCCAGTAGCTCTTTTTTTTAGAAATCGACAAGCTAATTTTAAAATTTATTTGAAAATGCAAAGGATCTAGAATACTCAAAAGAACCAATCAAGAGAGTATAATACTGGTAGAAACAGACATGTAGTTTAATGCAACAGAATAGACTCCAGAAATAGACCTACACTTGTATGGTCACGTGATTTTTGACAAAGGCACTGACATAATTCAATCTTTTCAATAAATGGTGCTAGAATAACTTGATATCTATATGGAAAAACAATTAACCTCAACCCCTACCTAACGCTATGCTCAAAATTAATTCAAAGTAAGTCACAGACCTAAAATAAAAGCGAAAACTATAAAACTCCTAGAAGATAATAAAAGAAAGTCCTGGTGACCGTGAGTTAAGGTTAAGAATCCTTGCACAAAGGGCATTAGGTATAAAGAAAAAACTGATAAATGAACGTTATCAACATTAAATCTCTTATTCTTTAAAAGACATTAAGAAAATGAAAGGCAAGACAAAGACTTAGAGAAAATATTTCCTATATGTATCTGACAAAGACCTTATATCCAAGATATATAAAGAAATCTTACAATTTAGTAAGGAAAGAAACAATCTATTTTTTTAAATGAGCAAAAGACTTAAATAATGCTCGACATCCTTAGTCATCAGGGATATACAATTTAAATTATAATGAGATGATCAGAATAGCTAAAATTAAAAAAGACAATACCAAGTGTAATTAAGGATGTGGAACAACTATTTGTAGAAATGCAAAATGGTATAATGACTATAAGAAATGGTTTGGAAGTTTCTTATAAAATTAAACATGCACTTCCAATGACCCAGCAAATCTACTCTTAGGTTATTTAACTCGAATGAAACGAAAACTCATGTTTGTATGCAAATGTTTATAGTGGCTTTATTCATAATTGCCAAAAACTGGGGGACAAAAACATCCTTCAATTGATGAATGGATAAACTGTAACTCATGATCGGCAATAAAGAAGAACGAACTACAGATACATGTGATAACAGGAATGAATCTAAAATGCATTATGCCAGTAAAAGAAGCCAGACTCTAAAAGTTACAGAATGTATGATTTCATCTATATGACAACCATGGGGACAGAAAACAGATCAGTGGTTTCCAGGGATATAGAGGAGGAATTAGATAAAAAGGGGCATAAGGAAATTTCTTGTGGTGATGCATTGGCATGGTGATTATCCAAGTGTATGCATTTGCCAAAACTCAGAACTGTATACTAAAAAGGGTGATTTTACTATAAGTAAATTATACCTCAATTTTTAAAGACTCAAAAAAATTGAACCACACAACATAAAAAAATTACACACAACATAAATGTATTCCAAAACCATAATATTAGCAAAAGAATTAAAACAATGTTTAGGAATACCCAATTAGGTGATATAACTAAAGTGAGCAAGAAAATAAATTCCATAAAAGAACTGTGGTTAACTTTGAGGGAGAATAAGAGGACAGAGATTGGGAAGGGGCCTAAGGCTTCGAGGAGCTTCCAAGTACCAGCATTGTTCTAGTTCTCTTTCTGGCAGTAACATGAGTAGTTACTTTGTGATAATTCATTGAACTATCATTTTTATTTTATATCCTTTTAAAAGAAACCTAACCAAGTAACTCAGGGCAAGTTATAAAAGAATAATATAAGAATAGATATTTTTTTTTTTCTTTTAGAAGTATGAGGCATTCCTAGATTCATATCTTTGCTCTATCATTTATTAGATGTGTGACTTTAGGCAGGTTTCTTAACCTTTCTCAGCCTCAGCTTACTCATATATAAAAAACTGGATTGTTTTTTCTTGGGTAATGCCTGCAGAATTTAGACTTCTACATTTTGTAATACTAAAATGTGCCTATATTTTTACATCTATAAGCTGGAGGCTATTTTCCCTATACAATAAGGACACAAAACTGGTAACCTGAGTAATTCTGACACAAACTTATTACTAGATTCTAGAAAGCCCAACTTTTTCAGGAGGGCAGGCTGTTTATTTGTCTGCATACTTATCAAAAGTCAATCTATGTATACTCAGATAAAGCAATTTATACTCAAATTACATAAGCCAGGATTATTACAGTCAGCCCTTATTTCACCTCATTTGTTCTTGCAAATAAATTAATAACACAATTAGTAAGACCTATGCAGAAACAAAGTGTTGTTACTAACTATATGACTGTATTTTCCTTACTCAATAGCTAAGTTTCGGAAGACACAAAAACAATTATTTCATTTAGCTACTTCAATTTTATGTACTAAAGTTCATCATATCTGGTTTTAGTCTAGTATACTCTAGTACACAAAATATGAAATACAGACAGTCTGAACAAATCGGTTCAATTGTTTCCCTAATTAATGTAGAAAATGATATTTTAAAAAGCATAACTGCCAATTTTAATAGCAGTGACTGTATTGATATTTTAAACCTAAGATCTAAAAAATGATATATACATTCCAGCCCATAACTTCCTTAATAAAATGTTTTTGTAATATCTGATCTCTCATATTTTTCTCAAAACAAATATCGCCACTCACAATTGCATATAAATAGCACCTATGTATGAGACAATATTTTAGCATCCATCTAAAAATTCCTGGAGCATGCTGGGAACTAAATTCTAAATTAATTAGATAACCTATACCAGCAATCATGAAACTATCTGTAAGCAATATTCTTAATAAAATGTATTTACAAACACTAGAGGGTGCTCTAATTCAACAGTGCCTGGTACCTGGCTTTGATGCTTAAAATAATTTTCTCCTCGATTAAAGATAAATTAAGATACTCCTCGGCACCAACTATTTTTGCATCTGAAATAATAAATGGAGATAATTTATGAGACAACATTCAATACTTCCAGAATACATAACAAAATTTAGTAGAATTCCACTGAAATCATTTTTATTGTACAATTATTATATATTTAATATTTTATTAGGTGGAGAGAACAGAAAATATGTACAGAAGTATAAAGATGGTCCTTGCCTATAAAGGAAATTAATGCAGTATTCAGATGGTTAAAAGAAGGTATATCAGAGCTTATAGGCTGAACTTCAAGGGAAATTACAAAAAGAATTGGGTAAAACATATAATAGCTCAATTTCGATTTTAGTTGCTAAGTATTAAGATACAGTTTAGCTATTTTACAAAGGTAAAATTTGAAAGTCAGTATTTAAATAATAAATAAGTGATATTGCTGTAAGATATCAGCTGCTGTCTTAAGAAAAAAAAGAAAATATTTTTTAAGCCAATAGCTATAGGAAATGGGAAAAGAAAAAATCCAATATCCAGAATAGAAATATCCAGAATAGAAAATAACTAATAATATCAATTTTAAATCTCTGTAAGAACTGCATTTTCTGCTAGTTCTTGAATTTATTCCTAAAACATTCATAAGACCAATTATAAGTCTTTGAATATTTCAAAATTAAGAATAATTTATATGTTGCCTTTGGCAATCCAAAAAAGTTCCCTGAAGTATAAGTTTCCAATAGTTAGCATTAGACAATCACAAATAACAAAGTTTAATACCTAGTAAAACATATCATCTACATATTTCAAGGAAGTGGCTATTAACTCTGACACTATTTAATCTTAACAAAGTATTTTGCCTTTAAAAATGTTTACAGAGAAAAAAATGGAACATTATATTTCTAAAACTCAAATACCCAGAAATCAACCAATTTTTCTCAGTCTCTCTCTCTCTCTCTATACACACACACACCCCTATGCACATGTGCACGCTTGCACACTCACTGCCCACTCACACACAATCTACTTCCCAAGAAGGGAGTACCTGGCTCATACCTTGCTCTCACTCCTTTCCCTTATGAATTACCAAGAGCCCCCAAAACAAATCCTAAACAGTGGCACCTATCGATGGAGGATCACTTCAAGTTTACAACAGCCCCAGATAAACTGTTCCACATTAAAAGACTATATGCCCACTAGAGAAAAACAAGAGATATTACTGAACCCGGCTCACAAAACACCCAGACTTCAGGAAGCAAAATATATGGCAGTCAGACAACAAATCAGATTTCTGGAGCCCAAAGAAATTCTGAACATGAAAGCATTGTGTTACAGTCTGAAGTATGTATTTGGCACCTATATTCTTTTGGCATTCACTTCCCCTTTTTATGTTTATCTGCTTAGCATCTGCCAGATTCCAAGGGCCTTTATTACACACTAATTGCCCAGCTGCCAACTTCTGTTTCAATGTCATATCATTTAATAGCTTCTACTGCAATAGGTGACAGCATACACACTCACTAGAGTATTAATGTTTGAAACATTCACATACCTGCCTTTTCGTGAAGGTCTTCTGAACCATTGTATACACCTCCATTGACAGAGAAGTACGGCTCTGAGACAGCTAGTTATGGGAAAACTTTCAGTCCTTTTCAGCAAGTCTCAAATCACACTACTACAAATATTGTATTTTGGAGTTATAATATAATCCTAATCATGATCTTAGCTTCTCACTGATATGTATAGCTTTTACCCATAAATCTGAAAAGCGTATGGCCTACATAAAGTGAAGGCTAGGTAGAAATATGTAATTTCATTTACAAACACCAACTTTCATCTCTTACTCTTACGTTATATAAACATGTACAAATTATGAAACTAGAATATTCTATTCAAATTATAATTTAAGATGAATACCTGCTTTCCATGATTCCTAAATCTGGTTGCAAACTAATAGTCTCTGTTGTAATTTCCACTTTCCGTACACTTCCAAAGAAATCAGTTATCAAGACATTTTTAGGATCCCTCTGAAAAAGATCAGTGCGATGTCCAGGAGTAGACACACATAGACTTTTAGGACACACCTGAAACTAAAAAAATACATAACAATAATAAATACACACATGTGTACATATACATACAGCTTTTATTAAATCCAATAATACAATATAGTAGAATGCAGTATATTTTTAAAGCTCTCTCAACCTAAAGAAGCTACTGATTCTAAACATAAAAGACTCATTCTTATAGTAGACATTAGACATTAAACAGGTGATAAAAAGGGAAGCTGGTTAGGGTGGGAAAAAACATTCACTCTTTTAAATAATATGCTACGAAAATTCACATGCAAACACTATGATGAAAGAATTGCTTTTTTCTACATCTATATCCATCTTAAGGGGGGTGTTCTACTAGAGTGGTTTTTTAAACATTTTGTAAACCTAATCCTTCATTCAAACATTAAATTCAAATAAAATATTACATGGTAGCCCAATATGTAAAAAAGATGAAAACAGAACTGCTCCAAATCACAAGAAGTTGAAGCATGGCCTCCCCATTAGATATCCTCTTCTGCTGTGAACCTATATACACCATTCTATAAAACAAATCACTTAATTCATTTATCCATGACGAAAATAAACCTAAGGCACCTCCAGACACCAGTGCTCCAAAGGATATAGTCTGAAAACATGATTTCATCATTACACAGATCTCAAAACAATTTTATCTTACCCCTGATATTCCACATCAGTGAATTACCAAGGACAGACACATATTTATTCACTCAGTAAAGCATAAAAAATACCTATTACACATACTTCATACTGTTACTTTCCACAGAGGATACAAAAATTGATAAGACATGGCCCTGTCCTCAAGGCTTTAAGTCCAGTTAGAGATGAATAAACATAATAAGGTAGGAAAAAAGGTGACAGATTCTAATTCAGAAAAGGATAAACTCACAGTTTGAGGATAAGATAAAAGAAAGGGAATAGGATTTAAGCTATTTTCTGAAGGAAAGGAAGATTACAGATGGGAAGTAAGCACAACCCCAAAAAAGGAACAGCTGCAGAGATGTGTAAGGAAATAACCTAGTTTGGCAGAAGCACAGGCTATATGAAGAAAACCATTACAGGCCTGCTAGTAAGGGCCCAAGGCCCACAGCAGCAGTCCAGCTGTGGAGACAAGACCATATGAATGGGTAATCAACAAGACAAGAGAGGGGTGGGGAAGGGCAGAGCAGCTATAATTTATGAAACACAGTGTTCCAAGCACTGTGCTAAGCAATTTGTAGATATTCTCATTTAAGCTTACCAATAACTTTGAGGTTTATAAAAATTATTATATCTACTTCGAATAAAGGCTCAAAGAGATTAAGTCATTTGCCTAACATCACACTGTCTTCCTGGGTTCATGAAAACAACTTAAAAAAATAAAAAGAAGAGATCAGAATATAAATTAAAAAGCTAAGAAGGGAAAAGGGGTGGGGGAGAAGCTCAAGAAAGTGAAATGTCAAACAGGAAGGACAAAAAAGATAAAGAAACAAAGTAAAAAATAAAAGAAACCAAGAATTAGACTGAAGTCCTAGGTATATTGAAGGCATTCCTATATGGGTAATTTGATGGGCTTTATTAGGTACCAACAGATGAAAGCAAGAAAAGCACAGGCAAATGAGCTTGAGAAACACTGAATATTATCTTCTTCTTTGCTGCTAAAATAATCATACTTTCACTTCCTATGAAGTCATTCTTTCCTTCAAGAATGTTATCATATTGATCTGATTTCCTTAGCCTCAGCAACATGACCCACAGATCCTGCAATTACTCGGCTTAATTTTCAATAACCTCCTTCACTTACAGAATCCCCACATTCTGGCCAGGTTATGTGTTTATTATCAAAATAAGGATCATCTAGTATTCCAACTTCTGTGCCTCCGCAGGTATTCCATTTTCCTAGAGTATGCTATACTTCTCTTCTTTCAAATCTGAAAATTCACCTTACCCGAGAAAAATTTTAATCACTAATTTCACCGTATTCAAAGGAACCATATAAATGTGCATTGTTCTCATGTCCTTCATTCATTCAATAAATATTCACTGAACATCTATCTGTATGTACAGTTACTGTATATATAATAATTTATATAGTAAAACCAGTTACTATACATAATTAACTTCTGTGAGTAGTAAGATGCATGAATCATGGTGCTTATACCTCTTATTTAAGAAGCTCAAGGCCTCAAGGGAACATCACAATTATTTATAAACACTTACAGAGCAATATTAAAAGCATGGTAAATGTATACAGCAAGGGCTATATGTTCAGAGAGGAAGAACATTACCTGGAAGATCCAGACACTTCACATAACAAGTGATACTCTATAAATATGCTCAACTGTTACCAATGACACTGTAAATTTTTAAGGGGCTAAAAATCAAGTCTTCCAATTTTTTTGCTCATGAAGCACCTAATACAGTATTCTGAATACAGCTGACACTCAATAAATTTTACTATATACACATAATCCAACATACAGTTGGTATCATTACACAATATCTAAAGATATATCAAATCACTGCTCTATTCAAGGAAATGGATCGTTACTACTGAACAAGATTAAAATAATCATCATTCAATTAAAATTCAATTTTAAAAATGGAGTGGGAAGGTCAGATAAGATATTAGTGAGGAATGTTTATTAAAAACTAAATATTACACAGTAATAAAAAATAACGAAATCTTGCTATTTGTAACAACATGGATGGATCTAGAGGGTATTATGCTAACTGAAATAAGTCAGAGAAAGATAAATACCATATGGTTTCACTTATATGTGGAATCTTAAAAAAACAAAACAAATGAATGAACAAAACAAAGACTCATAGAAACACAGACCAAAGGGATGGTTACCATAGGGGAGGAAGACAGGGAGATGGGTGAAAAAGATGAAGGAGAATATAATCACTAATACTTTGATAAGTTTGCAGGGTGACAAATGATTAATAGAATTAGTAGGGTGATCACATTGTGAAATATAAAAATGTTGGGTCACTATATTGTAACCTGAAACTAATATAATATAATATTGTATACCAACTAAACTTAAAGAAACTAAATAGAAGTTGTGAGCAATAAGAAAACATTAGTTTCCTCAGTCTTTCCTAAATAATTTCAATGGAAGAATTATTTTTTAATCTGTTAGACATTTAAAGTGTGAAATGCATTTACGGTAAACTTTTTAAAAAGCATGTCATGCATTACATAAAATATAAAATGTATAATCCAAAAACGGGAATCAATTTTAAAATTAAAGTAACTGAAATTTAGGTGACTATAATTTTCTTATAGTTAAAGTAGCACATTATCACAAGTTTTGTTTTAATATTCAAATTCTTATTAAGATTTAAGAAGCATCAAATATATAAGCTTAAAATGTAATTAGTAAGTAGTTCTGTTATCGAATTTGATAGCTTATAGCAGTAGTTGTCAGAATTTTGCAATAGAACCCCTTTCATAAATATTTATCTAAAAAGTTTCTATATAATAAAAGAGGTCAGTGCAAAGCTGGTAGGCTAATGTGCTAAAGTCCAGAGAACTGTCTGCTCAGCTCCCCTTCCATTCTGAAGCTCCAGAATGACAGTGTCTGACTCTTTCTCTAGGGTATAGTCAGTGCCTAGCACTTAGCAAAAACTCAAAAAATATTTGTGACTGAATGAACAAGGCATAAATTAATGGAAAAAAGAGTAAAAGTCATTGATACACAGTAATTATCCAATCTAGAATTGTTGCTTCAAGCTTTTTATTATGTCTACTTTCAACAGCAACTTCAAAGTAGATTTATTTTAAAAGATACAATCAGCACTGAAGAGTCAGGAAAAAAGCTGAGCTAAATTCAACAAGCCATGTGAAAATACTCTATAAGAAGCTGTAGGATGCACAAAAATATGGAAGAGAAGATCCCTCTCCTCCAAGAACTTCCCAATAAGTGAGAAAGACACTAAGTTAGTAAATTAAAAAAAAAAAAAAGACAAATTATGATAAATGGTATTAAAGCAAAAGCTTTATTTATCTTAACGTAAATCCCAACAGGATAGAATTTGGGAAGACTTCCTGGAGGAGGCAGGCTCTGATTTGACTCCTGATGAATAGGTAGAATTTCAATATGTGAATCTAGAAAAAGTACATTTCTGGTAAAAAAAAAAAAAAAAATTGAGCAAATGAATGACAATAGAAAAGTACCTCAAGGAATAACAAATTAACTGGGCTAAAGCTTTAGGTCTCTTAGAGTTAAGAAAGAGATATCACTGTAAAGGAAGATTCAAAACAGTTTTAAAAGGCCACCACTCAACATATGGCATAATACCCTCATAGTACAAGGAATAATAGGCTTTGCTTATCATGTTTAGATTAGCATACTTATGTGATATAATCAAATCGAGCAAATACTTACAAGGTCATTCATATTAGTTTGGCTAGCTGGATTAATTTCTTCCAAAAATTCCAAGACATAAAATGTGTACCTATCCATAAGGTGAACTCCAACTGCAGGATCAGGTTGGTGCTATAAAAAAAGCAAAGCATATACAATGGCATAGTATTCAGCCATAAAAAAGAATAAAATCTTGACATTTGCGACAACATGGATGGAATCTATGGGCATTATGCTAAGTAAAATAAGTCAGAGAAAGACAAATACTAAATGATCTGACTTATATGTGGAATCAAAAAAACAAAACAAAACAAGGTCGTAAATATAGAGAACATGTTGGTGGTTGACAAAAGCAGTAGGGGCAAATGAGTAAAGAGAGTCAAAAGGTACAAACTGTTAAAAAATAAGTAAGTCATGGGGATGTAATGTACAGCCTGGCAACAATAGTTAATAATACTGCACTGCATATATGAAAGTTGCTAAGAGAGCATATCTTAAGAGTTTTCATCACCAGAAAAAAATTCTAAAACTACATATGGTGACAAATGTTAACTAGTCTTATTGTGGCAATCATTTCACAATGTATACAAATATCAAAACACTGTTATATATCTAAAACCAATATAATGTTGTATGTCAAGTAAACCTCAATAATTTTTTGTAAAAGCCAAGCAATGCTATAATGAATAGCATCATTATAAAAAAATTTTAAAGTACGAAATAACAGATATACCCAGAGAGCATATAAACAATTTGAAAAATAGCTACACATTCCAAAGTCAATGCAGTTTACATATGGGAAAAACACACCTACCGAAAGTGAATCTTCTCCCACTTGGCTACTAGCTAAAGCCATTATGTTAGGAGAATAAAATCGCTCATACATGGAAGCTCCTTGACACGTATCAATAATAAACAGTAGCTCATTGTAGCTGAAAGAGAAATGGTAATATCCTTGACATGAATCATGTTGTTAATCATACACTGACTAACATTTTTATAATACTTCCATATCATAAGATATTGAAGTCATATCTTAGCCATTTCTTTGGTTAAAAATTTGAGACTTTTCAGTAGAATTCTCAATACAAATTTGACATTAGAACTATTAAAGGTATAATCCTGTCCTAGAAAACCACCTCAAAAGGGAGTGGTAGTTGAGCCACAA